CACCGCCGCCCTCTGCCCCTCTCACTGCCGCCCCCTCCCCCGCTCACAACTGAAAAATTCCACTTTTTTAAAATCTGTGTACTGTCTCAGTATTTTCTCCTTAAAAACACGCATCCAGGATAATGAAACAACTGTAAAACGTTTTTTGTAATGTTTTCATTTCTGATTTCTTTTCTGGTCTCAAGTCTACATTATGCTTTTCTTTTCTAGGAAAAGTACCTCAGCCTGACCATCGACAACGGAAAGCTTGTTCTGTTTGTTTACTTAAATAACGAGCTCAAAATTGAGCGCAACAGTGAAAGCCAAAACTTACTCAGCGATGGATTCCCACATCAGGTAACTTTTTTAAGTTAATAAATCTATTTGAAGGGATGGGAGACTGAGTGCAGGACTCTGACTGAGATCGGAAAAGTGGGAGAGAAGCTGACATGAATCAGTGCCAAACCTCAGTTTAATCTTGTGCAGATGGACTGTGTGCAGGAGGACGGGCTGAATTCTGGGATCTTGGGAAATAATGAGTTAGCATTGTGCTGCATCTCCAATTCAATGCATTGAGGCTTGTAGAGGGGTAGAAAAGTATGTCAGGATAACTGTTTCCAGCTTAAAAGGAGCAAGGTTCATGAGAGCAAATGCTAGCTTTTTGTGAGAAACATCATCCTACTATTGACCAGAAACTGAACTAGGCCAGCCATTTCAAAACGATGGCTACAAAAGTACGTCAGAGGCCAGGTATCTTACAGTGAATAACTTACTTCCCATTTCCCCAAAGCTTGTCCGCCATCTGCAAGACACACTATGGATGAGTGCTGTTTCAGCAAGACTCAAAGCTTGACAGCACCCAGGACAAAGCTGCACAAGTGATTGGTACCCCATCCACCACCTTCCACCACACTCCCTTCACACTTTATGCTCAGCACTGGCTGAGTACCATCTACAAGATGTGCTGTAGTAATTCCTCCAACAGTATATTCCAAAGTCACAACCACCAACACCTGAAAGGACAAGGATAGTAGATTTGTGGGAACACCATCACTGCAAGCTCTCCTCCAAGCACCATCCTGACTTGAAATCATTATCACTGTTCCATCAGTGTTCATAGAATCATAGATTCCCTACAGTGTGGAAACAGGCCCTTTGGCCCAACAAGTCCACACCGACCCTCGGAGCATCCCACCCTGACGCATCCCCCTATAACCCTCCTATTGTACACATCCCTGAACACTACGGGCAATTTAGATGGCCAGTCCACCTAGCCTGCACATCTTTGGACTGTGGAAGGAAACTGGAGCACCCAGAGAAAACCCACACAGACACAGGGAGAATGTGCAAACTCCACACAGACAGTCACCCGAGCGTGGAATTGAACCCGGGTCGCTGGTGCTGTGAGGCAGCAGTGTTAACCACTGAGCCACCGTGCCACCCGTTCTTGTGTCAAAATTCTGGAACTCCCTCCCTAAAATTCTAGTTCTAAAAACTGACTGGCCATGCACCCCATAAACTGCAGTAGTTCAAGAAGGTAGCTCACTGCTACCACTTTCAGGACATTTAGGGATAGATAATAAATGCTGACCCAGCCAGCAACACTCACACATCCCATGAATGAATAAAAGAAATGTAAGAGCGATGTTACAACTCCACATCTGTTTGGTGTTTAACATAGAACATAGAACATTACAGCGCAGTACAGGCCCTTCGGCCCTCGATGTTGCGCCGACCTGTGAAACCAATCTGAAGCCCATCTAACCTAAACTATTCCATTAAATCAGCTTCCCCTGGAAGGTGTATTCATCAGCTTGGACCACTTGATCGCGATTTTTTTTTTTTTTCCTTCCTCATTCCAACCAATTGTCTGAAAGTATTTAAGCACCTGTCCTTAAATGTTTTATTAAAACCAACAGCTGTACTGAGTTGCAGGTTGTCTCGAAGTGGTAGAAGAGCCTATTCTAAATTCATTTTTCAGAGTGAAGTCGGCATGCGTTTCCACAAATCCTGTCCAGTTTAAATGGGCAAGTTTGTTGCCCTTAGGATGCTGTGCCACTATTGTGCAATGCACCCTCAGTCCCATTGGCTCCCCAGAGGTGTAGCTGAAACATTGGAAATGGGCTCTGGCATTGTCTAAGGTGTAGAGGGGAGGGAAGCAGGTAGGGGAATCAGTAATGCAAGCTTTGGTTCTGTTCTGGAATCTGTTGGGCTGAGCATATGGGCATTGAATTCAGTGGTTAACACTGCTGCCTCACAGTTCGAATCCACCCTCGGGTGACTGTCTGCGTTGAGTTTGCACATTGTCCCCATGTCTGCGTGAGTTTCCTCCTACAGTCCAAAGATGTGCAGGCTAGGTGGATTGGCCATGCTAAATTGCCCCATAGTGTGCGGGGATGTGCAGGCTAGGTGGATTAGCCATGGGAAGTGCAGGGTTACAGAGGCAGGGTGGGATGCTCTTTGGAGGGGCAGTGTAGACTTGATGGGCTGAATGACCTGCTTCCACATCAGGCATTCTATGATTATCTCGACAGCAATCACTTCTAATAGTGTTCAATCACCTGACTGGAATAACAGAGGTCACAATGTTATTGTTGGTGCTTGCTATTTCAAGGATTCTAGTTGGATAGCCTGATGTCAAACTGCCTTAACTACCACACATATCAGTGGCTCATTACCTTAGAAAAAGTCTACTAGCACTTAAAGTGAAGAATGAAGGATTTCCATACATATAGAACCGTCCATGACCTCCGTAAGAATTCTACAGCTATTGATGCATTTCTTGAAATGTCGCCACCGACACATGGATGGAATTCAGCAACTGTTTTGTACACAGCAAGCTCCCACAAACAGAAATGTAGTAAATTGATCAGATAATCTGATTTTGTTATGTTGACTGAGGGATAAGTAATAGACAGGACACCAAGGTTAGCTTCACTATTCTTTGAAGTGCACCAGATGATGCGTTACACCCACCTGGCAGGGTCTCAGTTTAACATTGTGTCTAAACAATGACACTCCTGACAGAGTGCAGCATTCCCTCGGTATCGCATTGTACTGTCAGCCTACATTATTGTTGTCCTCCTGGATTGAGAGTTGAAACCCCAACCTTCTGAATCAGAGGTGAGAGTGCCAACCATTGAGCCATAGCTGACCTGCAGAGTGGCATTACAATTGGCATTTGTGCAAAAATGTAAGTTATTTGCAACTCCCTACACACAACCTTCCATTTGAATATTGCAAAGATATACTTCAGTTGTGATTATAATGAGAACAGTTGAGTTTGTGGCTGATTAAATCAAAGTGGCCATCATCAGAAAGAGCTTTCATTATGAACAGGGGGCTTCTAAATGGTCTAATATAATTCAGCGAAACTGATTCCATCCACCCTCGATCACTTTATACACAGTGCGTTTGTTTTCCAGATCCAGATAATTATGGTATTTTCCAAAAGAATGAAGATTTACGTGCGTGTGGACCGGAAAACCGTTCTTTCTTCTGAACGAGATGCCTTGCGTCCTTCGATTTCAGCGTATTATCTCGGTGGTGTGCCTGTAGAGAAACTCCCAGACAAGTAAGAGTCAGAAGAGAAATCGATTTGGGGATAAAATCCTAAATGTGTGAGAGAGTCCCGAATTGAAGGCTCCCCAGGAGTTTCTGTTGCCGGCAAGTCAATTAAGTAAAAATTGGCCGTAATGATTTCAGTGGAACCTGTGACAGAACAGATGGTAGTCAATTAAGAAATTGTACTCTGCTGTCTTTGCTTATCCAGGTGCAAACAAGCATAGTAACATAATGGTAATATTACTGGACTAGTAACCAACAGGCCTGGATTCCAGAGGCATAAGCTCAAATCCCATTATGGCAGCTGGAGGAATTTAAATGCAATCACTAGTCATTCGTAAAGATGGAATTAAATGTTAGTGTCATTAATAATGAATGTAGAGTTATTGGTAGTCATCTAATAATCCATCTGGTTTAATTTTACTCTTAAGAAAACTTGGCATCCTTGCTCAGTCTGACCTGTATGTGACTCCAAATCTCTCAAGTTGCCTCTAATATGTCCCAATAAGTCACTGAGCCTCCAGGGTAATTAGGGACGGTCAATAAGTGCTGGCATTGCCAGTGACACTCTCATTCTAAGAATGAATAAAAGTAAAATGGAGGAGTGGAATGTTCGCCTGTAAAACATTCCTCTGGAGTAAGGAAGAAGAGATCCTTTTCGAGCCAGAGAGATAACAAGTTTCGAACACTCCCCAAAAGGAAATGGGAATTTATACGGTTAATAGATGGTCCCTGGGATTGATTTATCCTTCTTAGGGGAAACTGTCCTTCAAGCTTTGAGGCCCATTTTTCAGACCAGGGTTACTTCCAGTCAAACTGTGGATGTGCCAAAGGGCAGAATTCACATGATAACCAGGGAGTTCCTCCCGTCATTCCTTCACACTATCTCCTGGGTGTAAATCATAGAATCCATACAGGCCATTCAGTCCATCAAGTCCACACTGACCCTCCAAAGAGCATTCCACCCAGACTTCCCCTATCCCTGTAACCCTGCATTTCCCATGGCTAATCCACCTGGCCTACACATCCCTGGAGAGTATGGCCAATTTAGCATGGCCAATCCACCTAACTTGCATATCTTTGCACCATGGGAGGAAACCCACGCAGAGATGGGCAGAATGTGCAAAATCCACACAGACAGTAACCAAAGGTTGGAATCAAACCTGGGTCCCTGGGTGCTGTGAGGCAGCAGTGCTAACCGCTGAGACACTGTGCTGCTCCTAAAGCAGGACATAGAGGAATCCACTGCCCCAGCTAATCCAGATTAGACTGGAGGTGGTCCAGTTTCTGATTCAAATGGCAACATCCTGCTATGAACACACCCTGATCTCTGCCCTCCTCCAAACCAGAAATTCTAAGCCAATATCATCCACAGATGAGTGAAAATGTGGAGCCCACCATACACTCCGATGTATCATTATTGCAGGAACAGAGGCTGTTGTGCTATAGGGACAGGAGCACCACCTACCAACTATATAGGTGAGAGTCACTAAATTCTTAAACTGTTCTATAAATTAATATG